TATATTGTGTATATATTGCATATCAGTATGCAATACTTGCTAAGCTTCAAACCAAAGGGAAGAAATAACACTTGGCAAAAGTATATTTGTCAGTTCATATGTCCACATCTTTCTTCTTTTAATGGCCTAGTTCATTTAAATCGATGAGAAAGGTTTTTACCGTTTTACATAAATTACTGGGATTTGATGGTTACAGAGTCTGGTCCAGAAACTAGAATTATATTACAGCCATTATCTAACAATTTGCAAACCAAAGAGATATAATAAAATAAATAGCTCACAAATAAAACTCCTATTTGAGTTGTACAGCCTGTTAGACTGTTAAAATTGTCATTGTGTTTTTGCACACCTGAACTGTACTTTCACAAAAAACCTGGATATGAAAATGAAACTTGGAAGGTTAAACATATAAAATCCCACCTACTTTTCTAGATTATGTTTCTGTTTTTTTTTTTTTTCTTCATGGAAACTAATCTGTATAGTCCAATACTTAGTCATCAAAAAGAAGTAAAAGTGATAGCTTATTACTAGTCAGTTACTGAAGATTTCAGTATAGAACATGCTATTTTTCTCTGTGAAAGTAAAAATATATCTCTTAAATTTTCTTGCACAACTGCAGTTTGGAAAAACGTTTTCTTCTAATACATTAATTTCAAGAAAATCATTTACACATTAAGAGAAGTGTGAAATCCTGTTAACATTAAAAAAGATCTTGATATTTAGAAGCAGTTTTGTAGCAATAAATATGTTAGGTTCCTAAGCTTGTGATCAATTCAAGCTTCAAGCATAACAGAACAAAATCTCTCTAATAGCCTAGTATCTTCTAATTCACATTGTATATAAACATCAATCTATTCCTGAAACTACTGTATACGACAAATACTAGCAAAGTGGTTCTATAAAACAGAGTTCTTAGAATAAACTTCCTCATTATTCAACTGTGTCTTATACATGGAACATAATTAATTTACATGGCCTTTTAAACCAAACTGTGTGGTTTATGATTCATATACATATTTGACAACTGATGTGTTTTCAGTTGTGAGTCAGATAAGTGCTCCAAGTTTGTTGGCTAAAAGACCAAAACAGCATGTTTTCTCTTTATTTTCTGTATTAAAGTTGGCCTAATACCTAACATCAGAGACAATTATATGTATAATAAAACATGTTTCTCAAAGACAGTGAGTGAACCTCTGAAAAGTAGCATGGCACAGTATTTTCTTCTTATTCACCAGAACAACCACCAAGCGTAAAAACCCCATGAAAGTTACGATGCTGGATACCATTCCCCACGCAGAAGATGCTCAAATGCTACAACTTACTGATTCCTTTTATGTAAAAGGCTCTGTACACATAGCACCAAATTTCAATTCTTTGCAAACATGACGCGCTCATTTTTTGGTGTGTTTTAGGACAGAAACAACAGAGAAAGGTACTCTAACATTTACCATTGTGGACTAATAGGCTGAAAAAAACCCTGCAGTGTGGGCACAGCCTACACAGAAATATGCAGAAACCTTATTTTTAGAATTTCACTTGGCACACAGAAGGCAACACAGGTGTATGCAAAACTAAGGGTAAGCAAGGAGGTGCACAAAGAGATTCTTTTTTAATCATTGGCTCACAGCTGCTGAACTAAAAGAAGCACCACTTGGTAATAGGGATGTAAGGGAAACTGACACTGTGTAGCTATTGAAAATTTGGAAGAGTCTTGTTGGAAATAGCACCTGTGAGTGTCACTGAAACCTGTTTCCATAGAGTGGCTCAAGGAGAAGAACTGGAGAGCTAGAGTGAGCGTGGAGGCAGGGTGAAGAGAGAAAAGGGCTGCTGCAGGTGTATTGCTATAGTTCAGCACTTAGCACTCCACTAGCTGGCTTTGGTGATTGTTTTCCCTTGGCTCTTGGGTCTGTTTTTCCTGCAGAGTTATGTAGAGTGATAAAGAAAAAGGCTGGTGGGAGATAGAGATTGCTCCTTCCATTACTTAGAACACCCTGTTCTCTGCTGAGAAGAGCACAGTGTCTAGCTGTGGGTGCTCTAGGAACTAAACGTCTCTACTTATTTTTAATATATTTTTTGTTATTCAGTGGTTTTTAGCTGCTGTTGAACCTGTCCTATAGAACACATACAAGCATAGTTATCGCTAAGAAGGATTGCACTCTGAGATCTTATTTAATAGGTCTGTGAAGAGTTTTCATCACAGTCTGGAACATGCGTGTCAAGGAGCACTTTCTATTTAACATACACAATTCCTACATCCTACATATATGGCAGAAATTAGTAAAGGTACTCAATTACCAGAGCCATACCAGTAAAATAAAAAGAGCAAGGGCTCGAACACAGTCCCACAGTTGCCTGTACTGTCTAATTATAAGCATGATTCCTCGCATGATTTTAGCCAGTGCCAGTACTTCGCCCAGCCAGAGAACAGGCTTTCTCAGTTTACTAGTGTAAGTGAAGCCCCACGGTTTGGCAGGGAAGACTGGAATAAGAGTAAGCCTATGGCATGTAAAATGGAATTTCTTCCTAAAGAGATTTTGAAAAGGAGGTCATTTGAAAAGTCATTGGTGCTTTGAATCTAGGCCCTTGCTACCACCAGGACCCCATGAAATAAATCTTTTCCCTAAACTCTGCCAAGACAGAACTTAGATTTCTTTTTTTGTTCCTGCCATTCCCACTGGAGGGATGTTCCAGAACATGACCATTAATGCAGCCCTTCTCAAGCTGTTCTCCTGAACACCCCCATTTATAACCTCATCCTATATTAGACAACATACAGCACCATGTTGCAGAAGCTCTGCTTCTGACTCCATAAGCCAGCCCCTGCTTTCCCCTGCTGCTCTCTGAGCTCTTCTTCTGATACTACACGTTGGGAAATACTGCTCCAGTACTTTACTTCCTTGTGATTTCCATATTCTCATTAGGTTTTGGGCCAACACTAACCTTTGGCTTAAAGTGTTATCTTTCCTCCTTTCTATTTTACCCTAATAAAGTACCTACATTCCACAATCATATTCTTTTCTAGCCTTTGCTTTGCTAAGCTTAATACAAGCACTTCTAACGTGAAACAGATGCATACCTCTATCTGAGAGTTTTAAGCCTAATTTGAAAATTCCCTCTCCTCCCCTACATTTTCACCCTATGTTAGTTGCTGGGAGAGCTCTGGGAGAGTTCTCTGACAGCTGCTGGAACGCCACACCAGGCTGAATGCCCTGATAAAGTGTATATGATAGCTCGGCACTAGGTAAAATGTGAAATGTTTTTAAAAAATCTGTACAGAAAACTTTTCTATTTGTTACTGTTGCAAGCTTCTCTTGAATTTTGGCTCTGTTTGTTGTTCTAATTAGTGTTTAGAAATGGTTAGCAAAAATTTCTCTCTGACCTACCCTTTTCTGTGAATATCAAAACCTATTCACGCTCAGGTCCATTGACCCATGGAGGAATAAGGCTGGGACACCACCAGTGCAGCAGGTTCGCCGCTCCCCTTAGATGTAGGAACACAGAAAACAACAGAGGCAACACCAAGATCAGAGGGTTAGCTGCCGTGAGTACTCCCTGGCCTTCAGCTTGCCACTCGTAGAGCTTCCAAAATTCTTGTTTTATGTATCTGTAGTATCTCTGCGTGCAGATGCCTTGTGCGTGCTTTTGCCAGGCCTAATTTGCAACTTGCCTGTTCATGCTGGTAGGTTTTGCATAGGCACCATTCTGGGCATGAAGAAAAACACAGGCCACTGCATGCATGCATGCAAGTGGTCCTTTTAAAGTCTGGCTTATTTAAAATAGAATGAATTTAACCATATGTCACATCGTTATGTGTCTAACAGTAACAAAAAGCTTTATGCAAGAGACAGATAAGATCTCCTCACTACCCTAGCAATGGACCACATCCCAGCCAGTGCAGATACCTGAAAGAGAGTTAACAGCGAAGTTCTCCACAACAGCCAGTCTGTCACAGGACTGAGAAACCTGCCAGGGAGACGGCTACAAGTTCCCGTGCCACAGCTGGAAAAATGATATTGCTCAGCTCACTGCTAAAAACCTGCTTCTGCCAAGCACGCTGTGAATGAGAATATAATGCTGGCTCACTAGCTAGGCAAGATGAAATAGAGATGAGGAAGACTGAAGCCTAAGGGACTATCACAGGAGTAAGCAAAGCTAGCTGCCTCGCTTAACATCAGTTATACTGCAATAGTGGATATTTATGTTTTTATGGTAAGGCTAACTTGTTGGACCAATATTTCCCCCCAAGTTATATCCAGGTAAATGCACTAAAGTCACGCTAGGGAACAGCTTTTATGGATTTAAAATATTTTTTTTTCCCCAGTACAGTATTAAAAAAATAAAAGTTTCTTTTTAAAATACTGAAAATATATTTTAGTTAAGGTAAAAATACTAAATATAAAATTTAATGTAATATTTAAAATAACTGTGCTATAAAGGCATGTGAATTGCTTCGTTATTTTGACATTCAATAATGGCACATTAACCCTAGTGGAGAAGCATGTGCCAATATACCCACACGGTGGTTTAGGAGAGAAGCTCATGCATTTCTGCATAGAAAACAAGTCTGCTTAATAAATGACATCTGAGGGATTTTGTGACAGTAATGTTCATGCACTTGCGATGCATGGGGGGTGTTGCAGGTAAGGCAGCGCAGTATACAGCATACAGTTCAGCACAAATACGTATCTGTGCTTACTACAGGTACAGGATTCTCTGCTTCTGAACTGGAAATATTTTTTCTGTTCTCCTTTTTGGCTGATAATCAGAACAGGTTGAAGGCGAAAGTCTGTATTGGTTTGCATTGGCTCTGCTCGTGTCTTTGAGCTGCATATCAGAAAATTTAGAACGAGATAAAGAAAATGTGCTTGCAGCTGTTTCCAGGGGGGAATGATGGGTTAGATGGTGGGCTAGAATGTGGCTGGATTTCAACACAAACCGACCATTTGGAAATCGAAAGAGTCTTAAAGAACAGGTCTCCAGCAGTTTTTTAAACATTTGTTTTTTGCAACATGCACACAAACGTAGCTAGATAATCCGTTTGTGTATGAAAAAAACTAAAAGTTGAGACATTTATTACGATCACCATCATCACTGTTATTTTTATAGAGCAATGAAATCATAAAATAACCCATCCAAGTTTTCAAGTGGGGAAGCACCTGCATATATGCTATGAATGAACAGTAGCTGGATGTATTAATGCATGTATCAGTTAACTGCAGGTTGCAGAGATCTGATATTTCAATACAATTCCTTAAATATCACTGTAAGAGATCACATAGCAATAAAAAAAAAAGTACCAAATCATGCTTCAGCAGCTAGAGAGATTGCATCATGTTTTGGCAGTGACTCGATCATCCTACTCCACACTGGCAGCATTCAATATTAAAAGGATAAAATGGCAGCAAAACCGGTCAGCAGCTTCTCTTCATCTGGAGTTTTCCCAGGTAGATAAACAAAACAAAAACAAAACAAACATAAAGCTGCAATGGGAGCAGGTCAAAGCCCTGGCCCTTGTGTTGCTCTGCTGAAAGTAAACTAGATTGATTTCCTTGGATAAGCACATCACAATCCCAAAATAAAAGATAAGTGCGTAAAACCTCCAAATAATGATCTTCGCTAGAACAGCTATGGGGTTTGTATGGGACAGTGGCCTTGTCAGCTACACGTCTTGTTCCTTTATGGTTCATCTTCAGTCAGCATTATGATGCGTTCACCTCACTGGAGTTTTGGCTGGATGACATGTGAGAGTCCAGATTCTCCTTGCATTTCTCCAGATCATGGAAATATGGGTGAGAGAGGGCAACATAGGCAGATATTCTCTTGGCTGGATTGAATGCTAAGCATTTCTGTAAGTATGAAAAGAAGTTGGTTTTAACTAAAACGTACAGTTAACAGTGCTAACATTGCATATATACATTAATGCATGTCACCTTCAATTTATGATCAGTATGAGACTCAACAGGGTTTCAGTAGGTGCTGCATGATAAGATGACCATATTAAAACAAGCAGTGGTGTCATAGTATATGAATATGGCATCCCTGAAGCTAATAGAAAATAAGAAGTCAGAAAACTCAAGTATTCATAGTTTAGGAAATCCCAGAATTTGGGTTTTCTTGAATTCACACGCACAGGACAGCTGTCTCACAGGCTGCAGCAAGCAACTATTCATGAACAACTTTTGAATCCCCTCAGTTTTCAATGCACTGTTCTTTTGTGGTTATACAAACATGAATGGCATCATATGTTCATCCCTAGGCTCGGCATTTCTATATGTGTTGGGTCTTTCACTTTGCAGCCTTCGTATGCTAGTTTTGTGTTCAGTTTCTCTCTCTTCTTCCTAGCTGTACTTCGCTTGCTTTCTTTCCAAATACTTATCCCCGCCTTTGTCCAGCCAGCACTGAAATCTCTCCCATAGCCTTGTGTTTTATTCCTTGTTCTCTTTTCTTTCATTCACCTCCAAATAGTATTCTTCCTGATATCCTTGTCTGATCACTTTCTACTCTTGCTTTCTTTTCTTGTATCAGAATTCCTATCTTTTAACTTCTGAAATCAATTCAGTGACTTCCAGTTCTGCCCTCCCCTTTCATCTGTGGCTCCCAGTTCTCATCTTTTTGCCTAACAGGAACAGCTTCCCTTCCCACCTCACCTTCTAGGCATAGATATTTGTCTTCTTCTTCCCTTCCATCATGCCTCACACTCGCTGAGCTCTCTGCCATATTTTATTCCTTGTTGTTCCCAGAATCTAATTCTTGTCCCACTTCTAGCTTCCATTTTCAGACTGCCTGCATGCACAACAGATACATTTCTCCCTGTCATTTCAAGTGTCCAGATGTAGTCCAGCTTACTGCAGCTAGGAGCTGCAGTCACAAGGACAATGGAGGACGATCGGCTCTTCACTAGAGATAACTTTGGCTGGAGGTAGCAGTTCCTGGAGGGATGCAGCAAGTCGTTCAAGAGTTGTGCTGAGCCCACTCTACCGAGCCCCTGTGAAGCAAGATCTTTGAAAGGCTTCCAGAGAACAAATTTGTCTAGTTTTCAACAAGCCCAGGAAAATGCAAACTGAGGCAAGCCATTCCCTATATTCCATTCCAAGACTGAACTTCAGGGCTGGGGTTTATAACGTATCTATAAAAATGATGAAAATTATTTAATTGAATTCAGTGTTACCAGTTGTACCAGCACAATTTGTTTGCTTCTGTTCAATCCTGCCATTTGTAAGAGGCAACAACTGGTGAATCCCAAATCTCAATTTTTCAGCATTCAACAGAAGGCACGCAGATGTAATCTGCCTCTACAGCCTATTTTCTGCTTTATATCGGGTCTGCTCTACCATGAAAAATGTCAGATCAGTTTTTGTACTCGTATAAGGCTTATACTATAAGAATGGCTGAATCATTGGCACAAGACCGGTCAGTAATGAGATCTAAGTGTAAGGTCTAAAGACAGGTCAGACAGGTATTTCCCTGACACAGTTCCTAGTCTCTAACTATTCTCAGCTCTGACACCTCTTGAGCCAAAGGTGGTGTCTTTGTGCTGGTGTTTCACAGATTTAAATGAATTCGTCTACCTACTTCTGAGCTTTTCTTTAACAACTCTGTTAAATGGAAACATAAATGTTTGTTGGCATGTTGCATGCACAGTGGGAACTATCAGTCATGCGGTTTGGAGAACAACAAACAGAAACTCACAAGAAGCAAGTCTTTGCCCAGTTCATCAATATCTGGTACAAATTTTTCAATAGGTTGTGCGGGTCTGGAAGTGAAAGCATTTCTTGGAAGGGCAACGTCATTAGGCCAGTCCTCTTCTTCTGGGAGTCCAATTACACTGTGAAAGGAAAAACATAATGTCAGGTCCGAAATTTATGCAGTCTCCCCTTTATATTGATTATAGTGAGTGGCAGTTTACTTTATGACTAAGTCTTTTAGTTTAAATGAGATTAATTGTATAGTAGTGTACTGATCTCAGTGAATAGAGGCTGATGATTGTAGGTCCTCAGTGTGCTTGGTAGAAATCATTCTGTGGACAGCACAGTTTTCTGGCCTAAGTCTCAATTTTCGGAGCCTTTTTGTTGAAAAAGGGCTGAGTGCTTTGGAAGAAAGTTGCTCAGCTCTTGACTGGATGGTGCAACATATGTCGCTCCAGGATGATTAAAAGCAGTAAGTTTCAAAGGGGAATTGCATGCAAGGATCTTTATTCACAAGAATAGGGACTGGGAGAAGAGTGTGGGTCAAGATGAGGGTAAGGCAATAAAAGGGATGTTTCATAATGCTTCAAAGCTATGTGCAGTAATTGTTGCCCAAATTTAAACAATTTATTTGCTTCACAATACAGGCTTTAAAGTCTCAATTCAGCAGTGGCATAGGACTCGAGTGTCTTTATGTTTCTACTTCCAATTGTATTTTAGTTTTACTTTACACTTTAATAGAATATTTTAATTTCTTTTTATAATTTATTTCTTTATTCTTTAAATTATAGAAGCTATTTATACCTATTAAATAATCATGCTAAAGTTTAAAACCCAAATAAGTGAAATAATAGGTAAATGTCTAATATTGGATCATGTCTCATACATTTCGTGTTTTAGTCTGGTGATAATATTTGTGGGATTGAAATGCCAGTTTCTGATGAAAATTCTGGAAAAGACCATACATTACTTGTCAGGTTTCAGGGAAAATCAGTTTTTGCACCCTGTAAAATTGAGATTTTTACTGGAAACGCTGACAGAGTAAGAAAAGGTGGAACATGAAAAAACTTAACTGAGTACTCGGGTCTGCACTAAACCCAACGCCACTAGGGAGCAGCATTGACCTTCTTCTTGCTGAGGTTGGTAGTAAGACCGCGTGAGGCCATAGGCCAAACACTGCGATGTAAATCACAGGTTACCTCACTGAACTTAGTGGAATCTATCTACTTCTATCTATGTGGATTTTAGATTGTAATTTGGTTCACCTAAAATACCTCAAAAAATTAGTATTTCCTCAAAACAACAGCATGCATAGAAGGGCAAAGCAATTAAAATCTCGGGACAATTTAATTTTACTACATCTGAAGATATCACAGCTCTTGGGAAATTATAAGCTAAATCTGTACAAAAAATTGATTTTATCACCACAGGTACTGTGGGGGTATGGGGCAACTCCCTTGGCCATGGTGGTTAAAGCCATGCCATTAGCTGTTTGAGGATCTGGACCCGCGTTCAATATAATACAAATAGCATCGTAGGAAGATAGGGGAGTTAAATATTTTAAATAACAATGACGGTTAACCTGCCATTCAAATGTGTTTGGTTAGTCCCAGTTTTTTTTAACGTTTGCATGAGAGAGCATGAACACGCCAGAATAAGCACAGGCACAGGCAAAGCTAACAAAAAGAAACAAGGAGGCAGCCTGTCAGACAGGTAGGGTGGACAAGACCAAGAGTGGAAAGGAGAGATATTTTTAGTTACACGCTCAAAACTCTTAATAATGAATGTCTGAGTAGATGTCCTCACTCTGGTCTGGTAGCACTACCATTTCAGTGGCTACATTTGGGAGTATCTTGGATGGGAGTATCTTTCACCTCCTGCCAAAGGTTCAGGCCTGGTCTTGAGAAACGCCGAGTACTCTCCACTCCCCCATTGATCACAATAGGAGACAAGTCTGCTCAAACCATTGCAGCGTTTTGCCTGAAATCTGTGAGGATATTCCACACGCTGACAGTGGCCTGGAAAAACAGGCAATTATTTGGGGCCACCACCGAGGGATTTACGCTCAAACGTGGTGGAATTTTACCTGATGCACATGTAAAGCAAAGGTAGACCACAGCCCCATTATCTGAAAGAATGCATTAGTCCAGATTGCATGAAAATCCCGAAACTACTTTCTGTCCAAATTAGTCTGGAGAATGAGTCACTGCTATAGAAAGCAACAATCCTCCTACAAGAGCAGCTATGCCTAACTGTAGGGGGTTCTCCAGCTGTTAAAACACAAAATAATCACTGTTTAGCATACCCCCCCCCAAATCCAAGAAAGAAACTTTTGAACTCTTTAAGGACAACTGCACAAAAGAAGCAAAATCAAACTTTCTCTTTAAGTTGATGTGTAATAAGGAATTTCTTCTAAAATTAGCACAGCATTTTCTCTTCTTGATGAATTCTTTTCTGCACAGGTAATCTCGGCCCCTAGGGATGGAAAGATCCCTGTTGGAGGCTGCTGCTAGCAGCTATGCATTTAATCCTAGCCCACTTAGTTTCGGTTTTTCCCCTTAAATGTCATAAAGAAATCAAAATCCTTAAAAAAAATCACAGCTATGTCTTTTTTAATTATAAAATATGTTGTACATATCAAAACTGTCTTAATTTAATAAAGCAGAATATTGTAGGACTAAAGGAGTGGTTTTGGCATAAGAAGAAAAAGTAGACTTTAAGGACTGATTTTTCTGGATTGGGCAGGAAGAGCTATTCAGCGCATGACAAATTAACCACGCAAGTGAGTCACATACACTGGTATGGTATGCAGGAAAGGGAAGTCAACTCTGTGAAATCAAGACCTGCAATTTAGGAACCTCATATTAAATAATGAAAATGCTTAGAAACCTATCTGTTATGATTTGAGAACTGGAAAAATGGTTAAACAGAGAAATCCATTATTTTTTCTTTTTTTCACCTCTTCTCCCTAGAAATTTTACAATCTACTCTTTGGAATATCTTCAAGAGAATTATTTTTAAGCCTTTTCTCTCTCTCTCTGCCTAGCTATTTCTTATTCCATCCAGATCCCTGGATCCCTGCAGGCTCTCCATATGAAAAGGGAGGACAGAGGTACAGAGGCAAATGGGCATTCATTCTCTGAGGTGGGACATACATCAGATCTTAAATTTACATGGTTCTTATAAATTCAGAAACATCCCTTGCTCTGAAGAGCTTTTAGAAGAAAAAGTGATATAATCCTACTTAATTATCATATCAGTAATATCAATAACTTATTTTTTTGTTTAACTAAGAACATATTTTGGAAGAGAATTATTCTACCTCAGAGAGTTTAGAGCCTCCCCACCTCCTCAACGTATTTGATATATCTGAAGAAGAAAAATGCAAACTCCTAGAATTATAAAATGGTTTTACATAAAGCAAATTAGTTCACCTCTGACAAAGCACATGTTAAAATGCTGATGTTCCTTCTGTTCTCACAGTTACCTTCCTGACCAAAACATGGACTGTAATCATTTTAACAGGCTACACAGTATATTTTGAAAGCTAGCATTTTCTTATGTACAGGTCTTTTCTGCAAAGAAGCTGTTGGTCATCATCTTAGAGATTTCAGTTTAATAACAATTTTAATGTATTCTAATGTCTTCTGAAATACACAAAGAAATTACTGAAAAATAAACCCCCTGCCTTTGTTTATGTGAAGAGAATCTCTTGGATCTGTCTGTTTAGGAATAAGCATGAACGGTACATGCATAATATGTTTAAGAGATTTAAAAAGCCCAAACCAGAAGTCTCTCGTAACTTCCTGATGATGGCTGTTAGTTCTGCAGAACTATATTCCATGTTGCTTCCTCCACCCACTCTGACACAGAATACACGGAAATATCATGTTGCATACGGTAGCAATAGGAAATATGTTCTAGGAATACTTTGTTCTAGTCACATTATTGCATAAAAACATGGCAAAGAGACCTCACAGTATTTCAATGTTAAATAGATATTGACATAATGCAACTAGTTATTACTTACTCAAAGATTTTTCCTAGCTGATCAACATCTGAATTTCCACGGAAGAGTGGTCTGAAAGAATAAAGAAATATTTTTTAGGATGTGACTTGCTTTAATTAATGTGAATTTATATTTGTCATCGACAGCTGCCAACACAGGGTGAAAAAGTTATTTTTTTTGAGACCTCACTTCTTCTGCCTCCATGCTTTATCCAGTCTGTGAGTATACCTTTCAAGTTTCTACTAAAACTGGTAAAAAAGGGGACAGATGAGACATATTTTTGAATATGCTACTTTTAAAAATTTAATTCCATCCTTTAACATGAACGAAATTACTTTCTCTCAACTAATACTATCCGATGAATCGTATCATTAACAAAATAGTTTTCGCTACAAAGAACATACTTAAATAGCTGTTTAGAGGGGAAAAACAGAGTGAATGTCATGCAATTCATTAAAACATAATAAAATTAGATATTAATTATTATGGATATACATTCTAAATTAAATTTATTGTATATTGTATATTGGAAATGTGCTCCTAAGTTTAAGGGGTCAAATAAATGACAATGGATTTATGAAGGTCTGTAAAGAATGGGGCGTGAAACGGTACAGAATTTACCTTGAAGGAGAGGAATACTTCTGCTGCATAAATAAAGATATGTTCAGGAAAGAAACATATTAATAGGCTGAATGTCCAAAGGCTTTCAGAAAAAACAGCAACTAAAAATACTTTCAGAGGGGTGCACTTTCTTTTCAAAGTGCAATTTAAAATATTTTCACTCTTCATTTATAAAATACTATCACCCCATAGTGCCTAAGTAAAATATGAAATTCAGATTTGTGCGGCTGTATTGCCGTCTTTGTGTTGAATTCAGTAAGGTGTGATCAACAGTGCAATTTTATGTTTAAACTCCCATGGCATTCCAACAGGTTACTGACGAATGATTAAGGATCCAGCCAAGAATGAGGGCATCTGTGAAGATCAGGCCCCTGATGTTGTGTACCATTTTGGTTCAACAAAGGGTGGATTACTCCAAGAAACGCAATTCAGACATGCTGCAAACTGAGCTACTAACTTGGGTCAGCTGATAGCCAGGCTGCCCCTCGCTTCTGGAGCACAGCTCTTGGAGTACAGTGCATGCTGTAAACTTATGGTTACAGTTTCCAAACCTATTGTTCAACTGAGACCTGGTGACTTGACAAACAATGCATATTCCCATGTCTTCACTGGCAGCCTTTGGTTATGGAGAAACGTCAGTTCTCCTGCATACTCCTTTTCTTCTGTCTGATACAGGTCCTTAACGGCAGCGATAGCCAAAGACATCATTTCACTGTTGCTCTTCATAGGAGAAGACCTCTCCCATCTACACTGGGAGAACAAGGAGTACTCAGCTATAATCCTTCCCCTCTCATTGCCTGTATGCAGGAGCAGATGTAGGATCTGGGTGTCCTTTTTCTAACCATGAGTTAATACTGAAAAATGGCGCTTTACATCTTGACACTCTCACATAGAAAAAAGATGTCCATGGCACGGCCTATCTTGTGGGTCCACACCAAATACAGTAAGTAGACACAGGGCACTGTGACATTTCTCAGTTAGACATAATAATCTCTGCAGAAATCTGTGCCACCAAGACAAAGAGCAAAGCAATATCTGGAAGACATCCTGACCATCTTTGATGAACTAAACATGCATTTTGTCTCCTTCATGTTTGCTCCCGTTCAGGTCATGTCATATCAACTTACATTGCAAACTGCTTTGCACAGGGGCATTGAGAGAACAATTTCATTAAGTCTGATTTGAAACCATGTGACATTAGATTAAAACTGATGAGGTAAAATGCGATAGTCTGATACATGTCCATAAGGGGCTTTATTTATTTTGACTCTGAATAAATCACAGATAATGGCAAGCGCTGCTTCCCAGATATACATGATATTTACTAACTGTAGCCTCTTTAACAAGTCTGTTTCAACTCATACTTAGCGGTTTCTGTATTTTTTTTAAGCTTTCCAGCAACATTGGCTTCTACAAAACCCCAAAGCTTAACTTCACTCAGACAGGAGCATCTATTTCTGCTGTAGGTTTTGAGCCTGATTTTCAAAGTGGTCAGTAGCCACAATCCTAGTATTGTTTGTGGCAACAGACACGCTCCACCTCTTCCAAAGTCAGACAATATGACAACCTTAGACTTTTTTTTTTTTTTAATGACTGCTTAAATTTGTTAACATACTGTTACTTTGAGTGTTTAATTTTGGCTCCAGCATTAGAATATTGGGGCCCTTTAAACTATCAAAATCTACTCAATCAAATAATCCTATCCATGCAAATGAAAACTGATTTAATGTTTTAAAATGAACCTTGTGTTAATGTGAAAGCTTGGCAAAGTCAGCCTTGTTCGCAAATCACCTTAGGCAGTGTCATGCCAAAACAAGTATGATTCTTGCGATTTTTAAGGGAGGTTTTTCCCATCGCTGCTGCTGTCTCAGATTCACCAAGGGCTGAAGCAAGAATTTAAATTCTTTTGAATACATAATTATACAACACAAGGTGACCTTCCAACATACTTTGATATTTCATCATAATGAAGTGTTATTAATTCATCTTTCAGCCTCCTATCCATCCCACCATCACAACTATAGCAGAATGCCAACTCCAGGCTAGGCACCAGTAATGTAATGAAAACTGCCTCGTGAATTTTGGCTAGAGGTTCAATTGGAATACTGGACGGATGATTGGGGAAGTAGATTCACTTAATCAGCAGCTGTATGAAGATCTCGTCTCACATTTTGGCACTAGTTACTCTTTAGTAATGACTTGCCAGTGCTGCACGTCCAGTGCACAGAAAAAACTTTCACCTCAAGCCGATTGTTTTTTTAATTCTGTTCTTAAATGGGGACATCAGCTCTCCCAGTACCACTGCACTGGGAGCATACTCAGCAGCCACAGAAATGTAAAATTTCACCTTTGTTCTTGGTATCTTTGACTTGACTCACTCACCCACTCACTCCCTGAGGTTTATTTATGCAAGCTGAATCCAGAAGTCCTTACTTGGGGATATGTTCTCCTCTCTGTGATGATAATCTGCATAAGACTGCTTAAACTCTGAGAGTCTGATTTTGTCGAATTCCTTCTTTCTTCCTCGGGAAAGGTATGGAGCTGGATTTGTCTCCTGTGGCAGAAGAAGTGAGTCTGTCTTCTGACTTCAAAGCATGCCTAAAATCTGCGTGTACATATGTGTCAGGAAAGAGGGGTATTCCAATGGAAGAAAGGGCTATCCATGGGGATACACTTGCTTTTTGTGTGGTTTCTTGATACTCTCAACCTTCCCTGACTTTTCTTGCTACAAAATCCATGCTCTGAGGGCTCCAACACCATTGCTGTTACAAAACACACACTTGAGTAGGGAAGACGATGAGATGAAATGAGGGGAGGGAAATGTTACAGGGAATCTGCAGGTGTCCATCTTGTTTGACCACTCCTTCTCCAGGCCTTGGAGCTAGATCGTTACCCACTGCCTCTGGAATGGTGCCCACTGAATGGAGGAAAACCCCCTTCATGTCTAATGTAGGACTGTAATGTCCTTAGCCTACAGATACGAAGATGAGTTGGAGGCACCATATTACTACCATGTTCTGCTAAAACAGACTCCTGCTGAGTCAATAAGCACATACCTCAGTTCCTGAGGTACAAAATGCGCAGCTACACAATTAAATGGATATTAGCTATGAGTCTGCATTGTGACTATTTTCACAGGATAAATCTATCTACCTTTTAAAATGGCAGTTCAACACGAAGATGCATATAACTCCTGGGCTGCATGAGGAACAGAGTGCCAGCAGGTTGAGGGAGGTGATCCTTCCCTTCTGCTCAGCACTGGTGAGGCCACACCTGGAATGCTCTCGGTTCCCCAGTACAAAAGAGACATGGACATACTGGAGACAGACCAGTGAAGGTCCAGGAAGATGATGAAGGGACTATAGCATCTGACATATGAGGAAAGGCTGAGAGAGCTGTGACTGTTTAGCCTAGAGAAGAGAAGGTTCAGGGGGGAATATCATTAATGTATACAAATACCCGAAGGAAGGGTGCAAAGAAGATGGAGTCAGGCTCTTTTTGGTGGTGCCCAGTGACAGGACAAGAGGCAATAGGCACAAATGGAAGCACAGGAGATTCTGTCTGAATATAAGGAAACACTTTTTTACTGTGGGGGTGACTGAGCACCAGGACAAGTTGCCCAGGGACGTTTGAGAGCCTCCCACCTTGGAGATATTGAAAAGATATCTGGATATGGCCCTAGGCAACCAGTTCTAGGTGGCCCTGCTTCAGCAGGGAGGATTGGACCAGATGATCTCCAGAGGTCCCCTCCGACCTCAACCATCCTGTGATTCTGTAATAATACAGAAATACAAATAGAAATCACAGCATAAGGCTGCAATGTAAAACCTCACAAATCCTGAAAAAGTTACCATCTGCTTATAGTTTAGAAGGACTTGCACCACTCATCTTCTGGCCAAAAGGCTCTCATGCTTATATCTAGCTGAACAAATCAGATTTCACCACTCACCAGCTGTATGCTCTCTTCTCTTGTCCAAAGGAATATACTCAGCTCATGTCATTGTTTCATGCTGAGTTTCACCATCACTGAATATTCTATCTATCTGAACTGGATATTGGTGTCTGAAAGGTTTTTTATTTTATAGACACTGTATTCAACGTCTGTGCTACTCAGTAGGAACTGAGATATAAACATTTCCTAAGCAAGTATCCATGAAAAGAAATTCCCTAGTGCAACTCCATGGACATGCCGAAGCAATTCTAAAAGTATTGTATACAATGAGAATGCAATGACACACAAGAGATAAATGAAGGTTCAATTGTAAACTGGCCACATTACTTCTAGACTTTACTTTCAACCTCTGGTCTAGAAAGCAAAGAGGGCCTGTAACTTTTCATAAGAAAAGTTAGAATTTTCATAAAGATTGGAATTAAAGATATTGATAAGCACTGCTCTCATCTATACTGCAGTGCAGACACAAGGAAAATAACAGTCTAATAAAACCAGATGC